GTCTAGTCATTCCCTGCTTTCTGTTCTCCAGACTAAGCTTCCCTGCTTCCTTAGCCTAAAAGTGCGTAGATGTCTAGTTTCTCGTTTTTTTCCTCTAAGATTCCTCTTTGGAATCCGGAGCTTCCTGGAATGGGTTATCAAGTGCTGTGCTGTGCTCAGTCACTTTAGTCATGTCCAGCTCTTTTTGACCCATGGACTGTAGCCCACCAAGCTCCTCTGTCCATAGGATTTTCCAGGCAAGAATACTGGAGTGGGTTTCTGTGTCCTCTTCCAGGGAATCTTTCCAACCCAGGTATTGAACCCACATCTCCGGTGTCTCCTGCATTGCAGGCAGGTTCTTCACCCACTGAGCCATCTGGGAAGCCCATTAGCACACTAAGCCCCTCCACCCCACCCCCGCAACTGCAAACCTTGTTCCCATTACCTCATGGTATCAGAACGTGGAGAAGCAAACCTACAGATCTGTCCCCTGACTACCTTCATAAGGCATGTAACTGGTCTGTTATCAACTGCACACAGGCCTCCTGAATGCGTGGTTTCTCCAGCCCTGCAGAGCCCCTTAAACTGCTGCTGTAAGAGACATATGCAGTAAGCAAGGGCACCAGTATAAAGACAAATGCTAATTGAACAGTGTCTGAGCAGCATGTCACATACTCCCATCAAGCACAGGATATGAAGTAAGTGAGGAACAGAACCAGGAGAAATCATGTCCTAGGGCAGGACTGGTAGGCACCATGAGAGGGCCGTGCTGTAGTGTCCTATGGACTAGCAGGAAGCCAAGAGAGGCACTCCATACCATGCTTCTACCAAGAAATGGGAAGAATGGGGTTGGACAGGAAAACATTCTATCCCTAAATAAAAACAGAGCATGGTTCATGGACTCTGAATGCACATTTATGGCATAAAAGAACTTCAATTCTCTGTTTTCATAAAGCAAAAATCTCAAGTCTTTGTGACTGAGTTTCACATTAACTGGCACTTTATTTGCTTAAAACTTAAACATTGTCAGTTTGAGAAGAAATCCACTGTGATATATAGATCTCCCCATTTAAATTCTAGGGTTTCTTCTTTTGATTCTTGGTAAAAATTTTTCTCCAAGAAATAGAATATATATATGTACATATATACATACATATATTTAAAAATATTAACCATTAGAATGAACTAGGAAATCAAGAAAGATTTAAGTTTTGGTGGCCCTTGCTTTTATTTTTAAGTTCTTTAAAGACGGTAGCAGAATAAAAGGCTTACCAAGAGCTGCTATTTTTAACGTGAGAAATAAAATGTTGTATTTAGATGTAAACTGCACCTGAAATAAGAGAAGTCACTGAGACAGGGTAAGAGTGAGAGTTATCCTGAGAGTCCAGAGGGCGGCAGGGTTTCTGCCACAAATAACTGAATGATCAGAAGATCAGCGCTGTATCCAAAATGCCCCTGCTTCCTCTGAGAAGAGAATTCACTCCTCACCCGGTGAGCAGAGACCAGGGGCAGAGGGAGTTTGCCCAGGTGCTCTGTTGGTGCTGAGTGCAAAGTAGACCCTCCTCTTGCTCAAGGAAAAGCATGAAAGTGGGCATAACACAAAGAAAGTTCTCCCTTTGTTCAAGGAAAGTCAGAGTGAAAGTGTTAGTCATCCAGTCATGTCTAATTCTTCGTGACCCCATGGACTGTAGCCCGCCAGGCTCCTCAGTCCATGGGATTCTCTAGGCAAGAATACTGGAGTGGGTTGCCATACCTTTCTGCAGTTGATCTTCCCCACCCAGGGACTGAACTCGCCTCTCCTGCATTGCAGGCAGATTCTTTACCATCTGAGCAGAGGAAGTATAAGGATTAATTTAAAATAAGAATGAGAAAATGAACAATTTAAGTGATTGCTAATATTCAGGTAGAAGGAGTTAAAGATAAGGCTCAGTGAGGAAACAGGAAATCTTAAGAGGCAAAAAGGATGCAATTAAACAGAGGAGACATGTTAAGTAAACATAATATGAATGTCCATTATCTATTCTACGCAAACTTTTAGTAATGTGAGATAAGAGGCTACCATTAGTAAGTAATATATTAGTGATATTGCTCATTAACATTTTCATTATTATAATTTATGTTTACTGTACTCTGTTCTTGCTGATAAGTCACATCAAACCAGGTTATTCTGCGGTGGTAAACAACCTGAACTTCTTCCAGTCTTAAAACAAAGACATTTCATTTCTTGCTCACAGTGCGCGTGCTCATGGGTCTCCTAGCTCTGGGACTCTGTGATGAAATGGCTACTGTCTCAACTGGCAGAATCCAGCAATGGTTTTCAACTGCAGTTCAATGCTCTAGTCCCCGAGTGCCTGGCAATGTCCCTTCCACTCACCACTCATCTGTCAGACGGCCCTCCCCAACGCTACCGGAACAAAAAGAGCATAAAGCCGTCACCCTCTCCTCTCTTGAAGGGAGCCAACCTAATAGCTCCATCTGGTTTAGTGCTTGGAGCCCAGTGTCCACCCTTTTCCATGGAAAGAAGAGGCCACCTTCTCAGTTTTCCTCCCTGGCCATCTCTGAAAAGGGCATTTGAGAAGCTGCTCTCCTTGGAGCTAAACTGGTCTCTCAGAGGGCTTCCTACCCAAAGGATGGTGGGAGATAGTGGGCCATTTTATGTCTTGACTAAATTATAGATTTTTAAAGTCAGGCTTCTGATTTATTTGGACTTAAATTTCCTTAAAATACAATAGATTTCTTTTTTTCTTTCTTTTTTTTTTTACAATAGATTTCTTATGTGATACTTTGATTCCAGTGACTCCATAGCTATACCCATAGTTCTTCTCTAGACCCATTTAATGATCTGCTGTTCTCGTTCCTTTATATGATGCTGTCATTCTCTACCTAATTGTTAGAGCCAAGAACCTATCTTTCACTATCACATTTTAATAGCTTGTTCCCCTCTGAAATATTTCATCCAATTGATCAGATTTGCTGGGTATCAAAGACTAACAGTGTCTACACTCTGAAATACCTTAAAACATTAAGTATTTTAACCAAAGAATTAGAAGTCATGCCCTTGGTTTTATTCTTGCTGCAAGTCTTAAAGATCCTCCTGCTCAAGACCTTCTCAGTTTTATTTTTTATTCCCTGGGCACAGAGAGCAACTTCTCCTTTTACTCCTAACAAACCTTGCTTTCCTGGTATCCATTCATTCCCTTTCACTCTTGGTTTCAAACTGACCAGCTCTTTTGTGGACTCATCTCTTTCTTGTGATAGTCTATTAAATACAGCTGATAGTAAGGAACACATGCTGCCAGTATCTCACACTGGAACTAGAATCCATGAATACATATCTTTTTCCAAGATAGTAGATGAACCAGTTTCACCAACTATTTTCCATAGGTAACATGAATCTCCCTCTTCCAGCCTCTGCCAGTTCCCTTTGCCAAATAGTACCAATAATTACCACACTTCATCTGTGGAAGACACGGTACTAAACATTTCCCTTGCCTGCATACGTGCTCCCTCCCTCCAGTCTTGTCCGACTGTTTGGACCCTACAGACTGTAGCCCACCAGGCTCCTCTGTCCATGGGATTCTCCAGGCAAGAATATTAGAGCGTGTTGCCATTTCCTCATCCAGGGGATCTTTCTGACCCAGGGATAACGTCCATATCTCCTGCATTTCAGGAAGATTCTTTCCCACTGAGCCACCCAGGAAGCCCAAACATTTCCCTTAGGTTATTCTATTTAGTGGGCTTCCCTGGTGACAAAGTGGTAAAGAATTCATCTGTCAATGCAGCATATTAGGGCTCCATCTTTGGGTTAGGAAGATCCCCTGGTGAAGGAAATGGTAACCCACTCCAGTACTCTTGTCTGGAAAATCCCATGGATGGAGGAGCCTGTAGGCTGTAGTCCATGGGGTCGCTAAGAGTCAGACACAACTGAGCGACTTCACTTTCACACATTTTAGAAGGGAAAGGCAATCGACTTCAGTGTTCTTGCCTGGAGAATCCCAGGGGTGGGGGAGGCTGGTGGACTGCAGTCTATGGGGTCTCACAGAGTTGGACACGACTGAAGCGACTTAGCAGCAGCAGCAGCAGCTTCTTTATATAACTATTGCTTGACCATTAAGGAAAATAGCCCTTAGTTTAAGTCAGTCATCTAAAGTTACATACGAGTATAAGCTCACCCACTCTCAGGCTGCATAACACTCTTTCATTTGAATAAACCATGATTTTCTGTTTCCTCTGTGGATGGTCATTTGAAATTTTCTAACTTTCTTTGTGGACAATAGAGTTTTTCTAAGATATGCAATGAAAAGCAAAATCGCTGGGTCATACAGCATCTATTCTACATGGTGAAGTATTACATAACTGTTGGAATGAGGAATATATCTATATAAGAACATGCCTGTATTTTTCACTTTAATGCAAGATCGAGAAAAGTATGTGGTATGCTACTATTCCATTGAGAAGAGTGAGAAGTATGCCAGAGGCAAGAGTAAGTAAGTGCCCAAATCTGCTCCCTGCAGTGGGTGATCAGAGAGTAGAATTTTCACGGCCACTAAAGCCTTGTCTGTGCTTAGCAGCACTCCTTGTACATGGAGATACAAGATCTCACTTCCCAATCGCGGTGACGCCAGACCACCAGCTTTCAAACTGTGAACTATCGCGCCCCAGATAAGGCTTCATAATGTATTGTGTGATGTGGAAAGGAGAAGAGGGTGTTTGGAAAAAGATTATATGACAGGCTCCTTCATTACGCAGAAGGCTGGGGAACACTTTCTCTGTTGTAGATATTAATAAAATGCAACTTTTGTGGTCCCAATAGAAGATAAAATGATAAAGGTCTGCAATTAGCACCAAGGTAGGGATGAGGGAGTGAAGTAAATGCTGTCTGGCTGGCAGCTTGCCCAAGAGATCAGTTTCTGACTGAAAATAGCAGGAGTTCAGATTCTGGAGGCTCATGGAAGATAGCGTAGAGGATGCTGGCAGCTCTAGGATCTAGAACTGCCGCGGGCCAGTTACCAGGCTATTACCTGGGAAACCCGGGAGGCCCTCATGGAGGATTCTGGGAAGCCGACGTTGTGACTCCTGAAGCACACGGCCGGGATTCCCGCCGCCTGACCCATCAGCGGCGCCATCTTGACTATGCTGCCTGTAGATGCCTCTCTCGGGTTTCCAGCCTTGGTGTCCGGAGGCGCTGTTGCAGCAGGGCGTTTGTTATTACTTTCCTGCATCGCCCCAGAGGAGACTAAGGTAACGGTCAGAAGGGTTGGGGAGGAGAGCTCAGACTGTTGCTAGTAGTTCACGGCAGAGCTTTCCTTCTTCCTGTTTTGAGTTTCTGTTTTTCTTGCTGGGCACATACATTCATATTAGTACTGAGCACACCCAGGGTCATTAGTACCTCGCTGCTTGAGAAATGCTTGGACTTTGGGCAGGGTTCCTGGGAGGGCCGGTCTCTGCTGGGTGTTTTTTAGTCCCTCAATTGTGTCCGTCTCTTTGCAACCCCTTGGATACAGTCTGCCAGGCTCCTCTCCATGGGCTTCTCCAGGCAAGAATATTGGACTAGGTTGCCATTTCGTCCTCCAGGGATCTTCCCTACCTAGAGATGGAACCCATGTCTCTTGCATTAGCAGGCGGATTTTTCACCACTGAGGACAAAAAATTTTTGCTGGACCAAACTTTCTCACTCCTGAACTTCTTCTGAGGCCTGAGGTTATGTCCTTGTAAAATCTAATTTCCACAGGGATTCTGCTAAGTCATTTTAACTACAGTCACTGCCCCCACGCTCCACATCAGATCAGTTTGCCCACTCACCACCATTCCCCAGGTGGTGGCTCATTATGCTAGAGTGGCTTCAGTGAGAATCCTGTAGGTCTTTTTAGCTAGACTCCCCCTTACCACTGATGCTTCTGTAGTAATTTTTTCATCCATTGACCGCTAACTTGCTCCTTGGCAAGTGTTAAGTGTTTGTCTTCCAGGAAACCATTACAGAGGCAGCTGTGCACCCCAGGCAGCCATTTTAGCTCCCCAGAGTTTTCGTGGGAATGCTTTACTTTCTAAAAAGGAAAACCTATATTCCATCACAATGGTCCTATGCTTGTCGTAACTCACCCACTTGAATAATGGTTTTCTTACCATGCATTTAGAAATATTATTTTACTTTTTCTTCTTTTAATGGTCAGGCATTTAAATGAGATCAGATGGCAGGGTTTTGCTTGCATGAGGCTGATGACTCCTTGAGTGCAGGCCAGTTGCTCTCTGCTGATAGGCAGTAAGTGGAGCTTGATTTTAAAAAAAGGAAAAGGATTATAGTTGATTTAAAATATTGTTTTAGTTTCAGGTGTGTTGTAGAGTGATTCAGTTATGCATGTGCATTCATTCTTTTTCAGATTATTCATTCAGATTCATTTATTTTCTCATATAGATTATCAGGGAGTATTGAGTTCCCTGTGCGGTGCAGTGGTTCCTTCCTGGTTGTCTATCTTGTGTGTGTGTATGTTAATCTCAAGCTCCTGGTTTACGCGTTTCCTTCCCTCCCCATCAGGTTTCCCCTTTGGTAACCATAGATTTGTTTTGTTTTCAGTATCTGTGGGTCTGTTTCTGTTTTGTAGCCAAATTTGTTTGTATCATTTTAAAAATTAGATTCCATTTTTGAGTGAAAAAAATATACAGTCAGTAAATTATAGTTTATCTTTTAGGTTGTAAAAAAAATGGTAAGGGGTATGGGTACAGGCATATATAAAAGGACTATGAGTATAGTGACTTCCCTGGTAGTCCAGTGATTCAGATTTCACCTTCCAATGCAGGGGGTTTGATCCCTGGTCGAGGAGCTAAGATCCCACATACCTCTTGACCAAAAAACCAAAATATAAAACAGAAATAATATTGTAACAAATTCAATAAAAATTTAAAAATCTGAAAAGTAGTATAAGTAAATATATATATGCATATGTACAATACTCTATTGTGTGTATACATGTACTTCGTATACATTGCATATATAAGTAAATATATGTTTGCTTATATTAAACACATATTCATCTGTATGTTAAAAAAATATAAAGAAAATATCAGGATAAAGTAAATTCTTTTAAAAATTCGCTTTCCTGAAAGGGGAAGAAGGAGGGAGCAGTGAGATGAGGGAAAGACACTGAAATTGGCATTTGCCTATGGTAGAATGTAGGGATTTACTTCATTTCTTTCTCCATGTGTGTAGCCAGTTGTCCTAGAAATGTTCATCCTTATCCAACTGATTTATCGTGTCCTCTATCAGGTTTATATATACTGTGAGTCTGTTTCTGAGTATTACGGTTTTTTTCCTCCATTACACTGTCTGTTTCTCCCTGCATTCTATTCCATTTGCTATAGAATATTGCTGTATAAAATAGATCTTGTTGTCTGGTAGGGCAGATTCCCCAACTTGGTCTTCTTTGAAGTTGCTGTTGATGTTTCTCTGACTGTTGTGCCTCCATACAAATCTGTCCATTGGTACACCAATTTTCTTTTGATCTGTGTCTAATATGCTGTTTCACTCATCCATTAAGTGTTTAAATTTAATGAATTTTTTTAATATGTTGAAGTTCTTTTCTTTCTTTTCAGATATGTTTAATTTTTAACACTGTATTTCTCTCTCAAATTTTGAACCTGTTTTAATTTTCTTTCTTTTATTATTTTAATATTTATTTATTTGACTGCACCGGGTCTTAGTTGCACTTTGTGGGATCATAGCTCCTTGACCAGGGATCAAACCCAGGAGCGCAGAGCCTTGGCCACTGGACTGCCAGGGAAGTCCATCCTTTATTATGTTAAACATTATTAATTTAGAATTTATGTCAGCAAAAATCAACAAAGCTAAAAGCTGGTTTTTTGAAAAAATAAACAAAATTGACAAACCATTAGCAAGACTCATTAAGAAACAAAGGGAGAAGAACCAAATTAACAAAATTAGAAACGAAAATGGAGAGATCACAACAGACAACACTGAAATACAAAGGATCATAAGAGACTACTACCAGCAGCTCTATGCCAATAAAATGGACAACTTGGAAGAAATGGACAAGTTCTTAGAGAAGTATAACTTTCCAAAACTGAACCAGGAAGAAATAGAAGATCTTAACAAACCCATCACAAGCAAGGAAATTGAAACTGTAATCAGAAATCTTCCAGCAAACAAAAGCCCAGGACCAGATGGCTTCACAGCTGAATTCTACCAAAAATTTAGAGAAGAGCTAACACCTATCTTACTCAAACTCTTCCAGAAAATTGCAGAAGAAGGTAAACTTCCAAACTCATTCTATGAGGCCACCATCACCCTAATTCCAAAACCAGACAAAGATGCCACAAAAAAAGAAAACTACAGGCCAATATCACTGATGAACATAGATGCAAAAGTCCTTAACAAAATTCTAGCAAACAGAATCCAACAACATATTAAAAAAATCATACACCATGACCAAGTGGGCTTTATCCCAGGAATGCAAGGATTCTTTAATATCCACAAATCAATCAATGTAATATACCACATTAACAAATTGAAAGATAAAAACCATATGATTATCTCAATAGATGCAGAAAAAGCCTTTGACAAAATTCAACATCCATTTATGATTAAAACTCTCCAGAAAGCAGGAATAGAAGGAACATACCTCAACATAATAAAAGCTATATATGACAAACCCACAGCAAGCATCACCCTCAATGGTGAAAAATTGAAAGCATTTCCCCTGAAATCAGGAACAAGACAAGGGTGCCCACTCTCACCACTCCTATTCAACATAGTTTTGGAAGTGTTGGCCACAGCAATCAGGGCAGAAAAAGAAGTAAAAAGAATCCAGATAGGGAAAGAAGAAGTGAAACTCTCTCTGTTTGCAGATGACATGATCCTCTACATAGAAAACCCTAAAGACTCTACCAGAAAATTACTAGAGCTAATCAACAAATACAGTAAAGTTGCAGGATATAAAATTAACACACAGAAATCTCTTGCATTCCTATACACTAGCAATGAGAAAACAGAAAGAGAAATTAAGGAAATGATACCATTCACCATTGCAACAAAAAGAATAAAATACTTAGGAGTATATCTACCTAAAGAAACAAAAGACCTATACATAGAAAACTATAAAACACTGATAAAAGAAATCAAAGAGGACACAAACAGATGGAGAAATATACCGTGTTCATGGATTGGAAGAATCAATATTGTCAAAATGGCTATACTACCCAAAGCAATCTATAGATTCAATGCAACCCCTATCAAGCTACCAATAGTATTTTTCACAGAACTAGAACAAATAATTTCACAATTTGTATGGAAATACAAAAAACCTCAAATAGCCAAAGTAATCTTGAGAAAGAAGAATGGAACTGGAGGAATCAACCTGTCTGACTTCAGACTCTACTACAAAGCCACAGTCATCAAGACAGTATGGTACTGGCCCAAAGACAGAAATATAGATCAATGGAACAGAATAGAAAGCCCAGAGATAAATCCACGAACCTATGGTCACCTTATCTTCGACAAAGGAGGCAAGGATATACAATGGAAAAAAGACAACCTCTTTAACAAGTGGTGCTGGGAAAACTGGTCAACCACCTGTAAAAGAATGAAACTAGAACACTTTCTAACACCATACAGAAAAATAAACTCAAAATGGATTAAAGATCTAAACGTAAGACCAGAAACTATAAAACTCCTAAAGGAGAACATAGGCAAAACACTCTCCGACATAAATCACAGCAGGATCCTCTATGACCCACATCCCAGAATATTAGAAACAAAAGCAAAAATAAACAAATGGGACCTAATGAAACTTAAAAGCTTTTGCACAACAAAGGAAACTATAAGCAAGGTGAAAATCCATGGCTAATTAATTTCAATGTATGACAAAAACCACTGCAATGTTGTAAAGTAATTAGCCTCCAACTAATAAAAATAAATGAAAAAAAAAAAGAATTTATGTCAGATCATTCTATAAACTGAACTTCTTGAGAGGGGGCTTCTTTATTTCTCGGTTCTGTTTAAATCTGGGATGGATTTACATGTTAAATTCTCAATTTGGTGTTTTCTGGACCTTTGATGTAGTCCACATTCAAGGGAAGATAGTATTACAGTTATGCATGTTTAGAGAACATTTTT